AGAGAAGTATAGATAGATCTTGTAAACCTTCCCAAGAGATGTATTTTCTACCCTTACCCTAAGAAGACCTAAATCTTTCCACTCAAAGTATACTTATAAATACAGAGTCAACCTACTTGATGTTTCAAAATAGCAGAGGTGTTATTTAAATGAGAATACTTATGGGAACTCTCTTTGTAGATAAATCTGTGTATAATAGTAGTATGGTCGACTACCAATATATTGATGAAGCTTTACGAAATACAGCCAGGCTCCAAAAAAAGGTTCTAAAGGTGTTCACGATTTTCATACAACTTTGGAAGAAACTAAGAAGGAATTAAGGGACATACTTGAGAAACTAACACGATGAGACAAAAAGTTATATGAATATCAACTGAATTGATAATCCAAATCATGGACAGGTATTTTTTACATAATCTTGAACTTTTTTATTCTTCATGTTTCACTGACGTCTTACCCGATAAGTCAATCATATCAGGAAATACAACTTCTGACGCCTATAGCAAAAAGCAACGGCACCATAAAAGAAAGCTCTCACCAAATTTTATTTTTCTAACAACTTATCAGACAGATGCCAGTGAACTACGAGGGGCGTTTTTAAAGTAAGAACCACTTGCGCATCCAGTAGCGTGACCGTTCATTCTCAGACACTCTTGGCCAGCCTCTCACTAGGACGCTATAAAAAATTGTTTCTACTTTCATACATTTCTTATAAACGCAAAAACTTTGATCTCATTTACGTTACGCGAAAAAAATGGTTAAGGAATTTCAAGAAGACATTGAAAAATCACAGGATTATCGACATGAAAACCACAGGATACGTTTCAGATGCTACATTAACCAGTAACTGGTGCCACGACTTGACTTGTGTTCGAATCTTTATGGTGGCTATGTTAAAAAAATGAAAAAAACGTTCATATTTTAGTTTGTGATACAATTCATAAATAAAATTTCTCTGACACGATTATAAAATGGTTCTTACTTAACATATGACCCTCTCATAAACCGTTAGTTCAATGCTATTTTTTATTTTAGGTTATAAATTGCGGCATGCTGGCGAATTATAGATTTTCGATTGTACGAATGAACTCAAAATTGTGGAACGAGTTGGTTTTTCTGCACCTGATAAGTTAATCTGAGCAGTGACGGTTGAGGTTTTCTAGGGGTTTCCCTCACCTAAGTGCGAATGCAGTCACCAAAAAACCATTTTCCCCTAATAAATAGAACAGAAAGTGAAAATCATAGTTCTCCTATTAATGACCATGTAATTTTAGATCGCATAGATATTAAATATGTTTATATAGTAAAACTTTGTTTTTTTCCATGAAAGAAATAGGCAAAAACAAATGTATCCTCTTAAAGCCCTGTTCGTGAAGGTGTCGTCACCAGAACTCTCTGAATTGCTATGACTATCTTCCTCACTCTCATTTATAATAACTGGAGAATGTCAGCTTGGTCTAGATATTTTGACCAAATTTAGGCAGTAACAGTTTGTAAAGCTTTATTATTTCTTCAATAATTGCTTTTCAAACCACTACAAAAAGTTTTCTTGTAGTCATGATAGTCTCTATGATTTAATGATGACGAAAATACTAATTCTGCTCCATCAATAAATCCATTTTCTTTCTCCTATGTTGTGTGCATTTGAATTACTTATCGTCGATGGTACAAGAAAAAATCGTAACTCCGTTTCTAAGAATTTCAGAGGAAAGCGTAAAAACAAATTGAGTTATGCATTATATTGTTTTAGGAATGATAGCATTATTGTGATAAATTAAAGGTAAAATTAGGAATTACGTGTTTTTCCTATTTTGAACGCCATATGAAGTGGAGTTACGTGGTTTTCTTGTGTTAACAAAAATAACACTCAAAAATATGTCAAAAGGAAAACTTTATTATATTGTGAATATAAGGTAAAAATGTGTGCTTGATTCTCATCCTGACTTGTGTTTTATTGTCTCACCGCTTACTTTGGTGATAGCTTGAATTCATACTCCATGCAACCAAGGGTTCTAGGTCCTTTCGAAAATTCCAATTTTGCGTAAAAGCTACCTTCGAGAAACATTTTTATCTTGAATTTTTCCAAGTCTATAAAGGCATTTTCAACTGTATAGTTACCCTAAAAGTCAAGTTACTAAGACAAGCCTAGACGAAGAGCCTTTGAAAACGAAGATATTCAGGAATTAAATGCAAAATCTTACCCTTTTTATAGGACAGATGCCTACTGGCATTTTAGCTTTCTTTTCCATATCATAAAAAAAATCACCAACATATTTCGGTAGAGTATGACACAAATCTTTTTCTTCCAATGCAAAAACGCTTTGTTTTTTGTCGAGTCGGGAACATTTCACGCTTCCCTGATTGATAAAATGTTTATTAAAGCAACTTTTTTACCATATCATTTTCATTACCTTCAGTGATTCGTCTATATCAAAAGGGATTGATATATTGGCATCAAAAAGTTGTATAGTTTTGTTGTACATGTGATATCGAAATTTTAATGTAAAATCACCCTGTTCATATTTTTTACACTGTTTTACACTCAGTACTGTTAACAAAGCTGGTCCCATTATCTGAAAAGTAATACTACACTAGATTGAATGAATGAGGAGGATCCCAATCTCCACGATTGTGCGATTTTTAAGAGCCTGATGACATGTTTCCGTTTGACTTGAATTCTTTGCGAGAAGTAGCCTCAAAAAGTATTAGGGAAGAATTTGCCGACCAGGCATCCTTGCTCGCATACTAACAAATCTAAATCTAAAAACAATAAATTTCATTGAGGCATGCACGGTTGTGCCAGGGGGTGCATGAATTTGTGTACAACTTCAGAGATGTTTAGAATTTACGCTCCCCTAAGAAAATTTGAAGACAAAGTTATTTCTTGTCTAGAGAGCCCCGAGAAAAATTTGTGCGGACGCCTATGAATTATTTCCGTGCTTGTTGGATGTCTGGAATAGTTACAAATGAAACACTTACGAAATATCTGCAATAGCAAACCCCTAAAAAATTGATCAGTAGTATGAATCGTACCATAGTCATTGTTACTGCATAAAAAATAAAATGCCGCGGTGTATTTGTTTCAGATCATTTCCGTATCAAACAAAATCAGATAATTAGCACTAAATTACTGTTTCAAAATCCTATTTATTAGTTATCAACGTTACGATCAGTTTAATGTTTCCTCTTCATAAACAAGGTGTTTCCAAAACATGGGACAAAAATATACCAAGTGACATATAAATCCGAACACCCAGTTTAAATGGTTTTATTTTAATAAAAGTTGGTGAATGTATTTATCTTACTGTAAATAACAAGTGAAAAAATTTTCAGCCTTATCAGTTGGACATTCCAGTTTTTATACTGCTTTTTTTTATTCACTAACGCTCTAAAAATGAATATTTCAGCCGCAGTAAGGAATCAACGTTGGCGGATTTTGGTTCTTGACATCCTTTACGATCGGTTACGATGCCTAGAGTACGGAGACCTGTACGATTTCGTCAACTTAGTGAGTTTGATAGGGGCCGTATAGTGGGACTTCGGGAAGCTGGACTTTCTTTTCGGGCAATTGCAGTTAGAGTGCAAAGAAGTGTAGACACCGTGGTTAGGTGTTGTCAGGCATGGCTTCGAGAAGGCCGTACAAAAAGAGGGCACTGGACGCCGCCGTAGAACAACAGACCGTGAAGATCGCCGCCTAAGATTATTAGCCTTAAGGGACCGTTTCTCCACTACCAGGTCCATTGCAAATTAATGGTTTGCAGAACACGGAAGACCTATTGGCATGCGAAGTGTTTACCGACGAATGAGAAGTTTTGGCTTGTTTTCATACCGCCCACACTGGGTCCTCCCTTTAACTCGAGAACACCGACGTAATCGCCTTGAGTGGTGCAGACAACGGTCACTCTGGGATCAGGAATGGAACAGTGTTGTCTTTAGTGACGAGTCTCGATTTTGTTTAGGCATGCACGATGGTCGTGCCAGTTTTTTGTTGAAAGACATGATCATCACACTGTTGGAGTTATGGCAGATCCAACTTTCCAACAAGATAATGCCCGACCACATGTTGCAAGAGTCACAATAGACTTTTTCAACATAATGATGTCACATTGTTACCATGGCCACCAAGATCTCCCGACTTATCCCCAATTGAGCACGTGTGGGATATGATGGGTAGGAGATTGCTCAATTTGCAACGTCCTCCTCAGACTCTAGAAGCACTTCGAGAGGAGTTGGTGGTTGCCTGGAATGAGATACCACAGGAGGACATTGACCACCTGATCAGAAGCATGCCTAGGCGCGTTGGAGAATGCGTAGCACATCAGGGTGCATCCACACATTATTAAAGGTCAAAGGGCTTTAAAGCAGTGCAATCATTTTGAAATGTTTATCATTTACTTATTATGCTTCATTAAGTACTTATACAAAATTTTATTAAAATAAAACCATTTAAACTGGGTGTTCAGATTTATATGTCACTTAGTATATTTGAAACAATCGAAGACGCCTGGAATTATATTCCAAAAGAAACAATATAATATAAAGGTTATGCAACCAAGTATTAGCTTCTTTGTATAAGACAATCGCTTTGTATATTGTTTAATAAAATCTTTAAAAAATAAAATGTGTCTCCACTTTTGCTCGGTACTGTATATCACATGATTCAGCGCATAAAATTTACAGAAGCCACAAACAGCATTCTACGTGTTAGTATTTCAATTTATTTCCGAGAATTTTTAGACTTTTTGTGACACCCTGTATTATACAGGCTGAAAAATAGACCGAGATATTTTTGTTAAAAAATATATATCTCGAAAACGCGGCATTGCCGGACCCCTGTTTATAGAAACTTTTTTTCTTATTTTTTTAACAAGGAATCATCCATTTTTCGAACACCCTGCAGGAAATAATCCAGGTATGACCCCACAAGAACCAAGTAAAATGAGTTTTGGACGGAACTTGCCAAAAACCGTGTTCACTATTCAAGGTATCACAATACGAAATTGTTATTACTTTCATTATCTTTATTTATCAGGTACAATTTTTTATCCTAAAAGTAGAAATACACCCTACACCCTACACATTAAAATATTTATTATATCCTCCAAATAGAAATATTTTTATTGAATATCAGAACGTATGTAAAAATTCCCTCGCGCAAAGTAGAAATTGCATCAAGTAGGTCGACTCCGTACTTACCACAATGTAATATCATTTTCCATTGGAAAATATCGCTCTATATTTTTAAAAACCAACAAGTTATTGGATTATTCACAAAAAGCAGGGCAGTCTTTAATTTAAATAATTGATTTTCGGAATAGAGATACAGAGGTCAGTTGACTATTTTTACAAGTTTGCGGCAAAACAAGAGATGAAGTATTACACATTTGACTCACACAAAAATTAGATATTTTTCGTAAAAGCTCAGTACTATGTATGGCCTCAGTCCCAGCATAAAAAATCATGGCATGCCATAGAAACTGATTATATATTTAACGTCAATACAATGTGGCAACAATCATGTATCAGAAATATATAATTACACAAAGTCTAAAGCTAACGCTTATCGAAAATAAAAATATCTTATTAGTACGATATTAAAAGCAATATAAAGGCATTTTGGATACAATGAAAGTTCATTGAATGAATTCACAAATGCCTCAGGCCTTCTTGAGAGGTACTAAAGTTTAAAATGCAATCAGCAACAGAAATCGCTATACTTCCAAACAATCCCTTTGTTTTTTTTCATTTTTAATTTCTATATAGATAGACAACACAGCACGAATGCTTTTGGGATATCCCAGGGTTTTAAAAGCTGTAATCACTCAATTGAAAAAATGTTGCAATGTTGCAAATAGCTGCCACGTTTCCAGATAGTCTAAAATGATTATATTTTCCATCAGATTTTTATTATTAATAATTGAAAGTACAATAATTATTCACAGAACACGAATCAGATCTCGGATGAGATAGTGATTAAGAATTACAGGTCATACATAAATATACATAAAAATTTCAGAAAACATTACGAATAAAAACTTTCAAGGTGGTTTATCACAGCAAAAATATATTAATATAAAATACGCAAGAAATTAAAGAAATTAATGCTTATGTCCAGAACCAAATATGTATCTCAGGAGAGATATTTTTACATAGAGCGACGAAAAATTATTACATCTGGTTTCAAGTTAATTGACTGATTATTGCAATATTTGTAATGCATCGTTTAGTTTTAAATAATCATATTTATTCGTCGCCTACACTTAATAAATCACAGATAAACATAGACCACCATTTTTTCTCATAGTACGAGATTTTAACGAAAAAGTAATTCAAACGCGACGATTTCTTGGGAAAATCACTGATATGCACATATTTGTTATATCTTGTTTTAATACAATGTTTTCAATTGACGTTTACGTACTATATAAAAAAATATGTCCTGCGATGTGATTGTGTATTTCCTTGATTTTTGCGTATTCTATATCTTTAAAGAGTAGCTTCATTGTTCCAGTATTTCAATCAATACAAAATATAACCTTTCATTAGAAATTCTCGAATGCGTTGGAGGTGTTTTCTAGATAAGTGCATGATCATTACTATCATTAGAATTATCATTTCTTTTTGATAACGACAAGAAAATCTGTATTCTTCAGTCCTGTTGGACTGTTTTTAGTTTCACAGATTTATAATTATCTAGAAAAACACCCTGATCCGAAAGGATAGTTCGTGAGAAAGTGAATATCAAAACATCCAATATAATGAGAATGTACGACAATCTAATGACATAACAATAAAAAATATAAATATTCAACACATAGGAAAATATCTCACCAATTTCACTTTGTAGTGATGAGATGTTTTCACTTTGCCTACAATAAGGCAATATAGTTATAATCTAATAATTGTGAACACACTAAAAATATACCTTCCTTCAAAAAAAGATACTTTTTGGGACACATTACACATTCTACATGCTCTAGAATATATACAGGGAATAGTCGCCTACAATTTTTCAAGATTGGCAATGTATTTGACATCATGTCGAATGTGTAGAACCCTTTAGAAATAGCCATACACAGGGAGTAACTCAGCGCTGAAGCCAAAGAGGAGGTACACCAAGCGAAGGCAGTTGGTCAAACAGAATAAAATTAGAAATATTCTTGGAAATTTTTATAGGAAATAAGCAACAACAATAAACTTTGTTGCTCAGTATAAATATATCGCTTTCTAAATGTTTTCTGGCACTTGACACCTCTGCATACACACTTCCTTGACAGATGCCAAACCAGGTACGGTTCGCTCATAGATCGCTGTTTTTGTTGTAAAATTAGGCAAGCAATAATGCAGGACAAAGCGATTTAAAGGGACAAATTCAACGATAGACTTCAGACATTCCGCGCAGTATCCTCCCTTCTCTTAGTTAATGCGTTAGCATTCTGTTTCTCGAAAACAAACGGAAACTTTAAACGGCACTTTTGTTAGACCCTGTATTAAATGCTAATCTAAAATATTACTCATCTTTTTTTGAAAGCTGATATATATCCAGAGAAAAACTTGATCAAACTGAAACGCCTCGAAGATATTTGTGTGTTGCTAGGTTCCTATGAAACGTTTTAACCCATGAGTGTTTTTATTACTTTTGCAATCTTTTTCATCAAATATACTCCATCACGTACTAAACCCAGAGTAAAATGTGGATTTATCATTTTCAAAAGTACAACTGTCTCCTAACAGACTCTACACAACACTCAAAATTTGTGCAAGGGGGGCATATAATAAGTGAAATATTCTTAATGAGATACCCAATCTTTGGGTAAAAGGTGGCGTGTGAGAACATCCCAACATAGAAGATATTATTTCTGCTACCATTTTCAATAGTTGCATTTTTGCACAGCCTATAAAAAAACCCCTGGATTTTGCTATATGGGCGGTCATGGCAATAACCGCGGTAAACATGCCGCAAATTACTGGCAGAGATATTTTCTAAAAATTGGTGACCTTTTTTGTTGGGTTGTTAGAACGTCAGAATCAAACGTCGACTTGGTCCTCCATATTGTGAAGATGCCGTAATTGCCTCAACAGTTTTGTTGCATGAAAGTCTTTCCTCTTTCTCATCGAAGAATGCGGGCGTGTTCAATGTACTAATTTCATCAAAGGAATAAAGAGACCTACCTATTCTAATGTTCGATATTTTGGAATTCTGGTCACATCCTAGTGATAAGGCAAATAAAGCGTCCTCAAGAAACGAAAAAACAGAAATGCTAGGAAACGTAAGCTTACCCAAATATCATTGAAGCGCACAAAACTTATAATCAACAACTAACTGATAAGCTCAAGACGGTGAGTCTGCTTGCTTACTTTTGTACAGCCAATAGCTATATAACAGAGATCAAGTATCAGGAGGTGGTTTCCCATTTCCTGGGCATTGAATATTCGGAGAAGAGCTGCAATCGCGACTATCTTGGTCTTCTAGGAAACGGTCCATAAAATCTGTGAAACCGGGATGTAGAGCATACTTCTTTTTTTCCAGACGAGCTTTGTTTGCAAATATGTCGTGGCGCTCTGATTTTTTCCACAGGTAATAGAACTGAACCAATTCTCCCACTGACCTTGTACGAACCTGCAAGTTAAATCCTGTGAACTATCACCGAAATTTCAAATTCAGAGAAAACCTTGTCGCGGAGAAAAGATCTCGTTGTTTATTTTTCCTGTCATGACAACTTATGCCACAGTCAAGCAAAAACATGGTAGAAATTGTGGTTCATTTAAAACTTTGTGATTACAACTTCCTGATCAACCGATGTCTGTTGGACAAATATCAATTTTTATCTTATCACCTATATTTTGTATAAGACAGCATTAATTTTAGATCACGGTGGCAAATGTACTTTTTCCCATTTATTAAACCACGACCACACTTATATATAGTTTTGCAAATTACCGATCATCATTTACTTATTATGCTTCATTAAGTACTTATACAAAATTTTATTAAAATAAAACCATTTAATCTGGGTGTTCGGATTTATATGTCACTTAGTATATGTACGAAGCTCAGATTTACAATTTTTTGATTTTATTCTATTCTATTTTGAATAAAAAAGACTTTCCAACAATTTTGCGCATATTCACAATAAGAAATGAAGCTAGCAACCACACTAACGACTACAGTTTTGTTTTCGTAAAGTTGCAAACCCCGCCTCGAGTAAGGTGTATTTTCGGTCGTCACACATAATAAATGAAATCAAACAAAACACTTGTTAGTTACCTTATTCTGTTGAATGAGATGAAAATTCTTCCCGAAACATCTAACGCCCGACTCAAAATTTCTGCACTCCTCTTCGGACCAAAGTGATTCGTTCATGTTATCTGTAGCAGAATTGGGAAGAGTCATCCTTAATCGTCTGAGGGCTTCCTCGGAGTTGTGGCCACATTGCTGTAGAAGGTACAGAGCTTGTTCATCATCCCTGAGTTGAGTGCCCATCGGCAAGGGTGGTTTTGTAATAGCAGAGGCCTTCTTAAGGAATTCCTCAACAATGTCGCCATACATTTCGGAAGGGTTCCATAGAAGTTTGTCTTCATTTTCGTACGGCAATGCATCGTCATAGTGACAGAGTCCATCTGGGATTTGAGCTTGATAGTCGCTACCTACCATTATCGTCTGGAAAAAAACTGGCATCAAGTAGGTTGACTCTGCACTTCCCACGCAACACTGTTATCACTTCATTATGTTCAGCACAAACTAGACCATCCGAGAAACATCAGTCAAACAGGTCCGTACAACTAGTATGCAGCATAGGAAACACAAGTTTAAGGGCTATCATGTATGAATAATAATAATAATAATAATAATGATGTTTTTATTCGGAAAATGATCGTAGTATGGCGAAGTTTAGCCATTACCATTTAACCATACTACAACCAGACACCACAAAACATTAGCATAGCAACATGAATCAGTAACTGTAAGAAGTACATTAAAAAATATAGAATATGAACATAATATACAAAGAATACAAACAATAGAACATTCCTATTATAAACAATGAATTATTAGCTTTAGACACTTTTAACAAGCAGATCTTTTTTGTTGTTGATATACGAGAAAATAAGATTTTTCGGTCAGTTGTTGTATACATGGTAGCACAAAAAAGTTATGATAAGTTATTTACCGAAACCGTGCTGTAAGTGGCGCCCTCTAGAAGTTTGGCCATAAAAAATAACCGATTCTTGATTCTCATACTAGAAAACCTCCCTATACCGAGTTTTATGCCAAAATCTGAAATACTTCTCAAGCACTAAGGAAAAATAGAAAATAAAATTGTAACTCCCCTCGTACACTGGATAGGCGCGCGACATCGATGTGTGAACAATCTCTGTAAAGAGCAAACCAGAAATAAACGTTCTCAAAGAATTTTTACTCTGTTCCGTCTTGAGAAGAGAAAATTGACTAGTTCTAAGGGCAAATGTGCTGGGAAATATGTCTGATAGGCGTGTCAAATTACCAGGGTTGGAAGCATGTTAGTATAGTAACATCAAAACATTGCGATACCCTCTCTCCCGCTCCCCCAAAAAATCAATAGTTAGCATTGGGTAATTGTAGCAAGTGGAGTACAAATGCTATTAAAGAAAAGTATCATCACTCACCTTATTCACTTTCCTCCACTCATCCTCATCTGGGCTATAATCATAATCTTCCTCTTCTTCTTCACTGACCCTAGAGACAGCTGTAAAAAACAACTATCTAAATTTCTAAGTAATGAATCAAGCCAAAGCTCAGCTTCAACATATTTTTTTGCCAAAAACTTATAACTTTGTAATTAACTTACAACGAAGTAACCTTGATGCATCTTGATCATTATCGGGTATGGGTCCATATAAGATGTGCAGCTTTGATGGCTCTTCCTGTGGGGAAGGTTCACTTTCACGTTCTACTGTTTCAGACATTTCTGTACTTTCTGCTTCCTCATTCCCCTCCTCTTCAGGACTTTCGTTCTCCTGATTTTCACCTTGATAACCATACAATGCAAGCAGTTCTTCTAAGGGCATGTTACTCTCCTGCAAAAAAAGTTTATTTTCAGTCAAACTGCCAACAGGAACTTGCCCATTCAAAACTATTCCAGTTTAAATACTGCCTGTCCAACCAACCAAGTACTGTGCTGTTTCATCATCAGCAATTATCAGCAGAGTTCAAGTTGGCGAATACATATAAAATTTTATTATATTAGTTACAAACTACTGTTTTAATAACACTTTAAAATGTGAACACAATGGTACAAAACATTTTAATGTTATTTTGATAACATGATAAGGAATGATAATCGGGAAGTGGGTTTATATATATAAACCATTTTGCGATAAAATACCTGACATTTTGGCGATAAAGCATATTTTAGTTTACAATTATTGTACCTTTTGAAGATTTGACAGCTCAGCATCTGGATCTTGTGACTCTCCAGCAGCTAAGGCCTCTTCCTCTTCTAATGTCCGTTCATCATCAAAATCATTCAAAAGTAGTTCCACTGAGGGGTCAAATAGTTTGTCTTTGGTTGGCGAGTCACCGTCTTTACCTTGCTTTTGAGTGGAAACACTTTCTTCCATGATATTAGAGCTCCTTCATTAATTCGCCCTAGAAGCCCTTGTCAGTGGAAAAGCAGCTCGGACCGCTCTGGAACCTGTCAATAAATAAAACGTTGTTTTCAAACAAATACATTGGGTTGCAAAACACATTTTCGTCTGACTGAGGTTATATGAAACAAGTAGGAAATGTTTGATGGAAACAAAAATGTGTGCTGGGCAATTACGGATTAATAAATAAATGTATCTGGTGCCTGAATTTTTGATTTCAAGTGGATTGGCTTACCCTTCATAATATAAATCAGTTATTGTTCTGGACATCGAAAAAATTATATAAACAAACTAATGTCATGCAAATCGCAATGCAAATAATCACGAATTACAATATGGAGGTCATAGAACAACATGTCAATGTACATGTCAATGTCATTGCTCTCATGACAGCTACCGCCATCTATCCATATTTAGCTCTACTTGTTCGAGCGTCATCTGTAGCAAGAAGGATGTATTGAGTTGCAAAGCCGGTTTGAATTTGGGTGTAAAGTAAGCTGTCTGAAACCCCTCAATGCCAAATTCAGATCGGATTCCGAATTTGTACACGTAATTAAACTCGACCGACAGACAGACAGACCGGCGGAAATGAGTAAAATGGTTTTCCGTGATGTGCGTGTCATCATCATCCAATAAACAATATATTTTAATAATTTTTGGCGATTACAGTATTTCTTCGCCCATTGCCGTAGGAAGTAAAAATGTCAGGCACTCAAAAACAAAATTAAAACATTTAAATCCAGCGATCTAGATGACCATTATATAATTTGTGGTTTTGTTGGACTTTTCTTAAACGGTTTTAGTTAAATTTTAGATGTGTACTTGCTAAATTTCAACAAATCCTAAAATCAGGCTTATTACGATTTTTACAAACAAGCTCTCAAAACATTTTTGACCCCACTATCTTGCGAACAAAGCCTACTTTTATATGAACGTTTTTCTTAGAACCACTCAATGAAACACCCCTTGGAGCTTGGCCAATTGCTTTAACAGCACCATGTTTTAATATCGAATTAAGACTTTCTGGCATTTATATACCCATCATTATCGCACGACTTTAAAAATCTCGTTAACGAGGATTCATCCAGATCAGAGATTGTTTACAGTACAAGGATTTTTGGGAATTTGGGTGTAAAATAAGCTGTTTGAAACCGCCCAATGCCAAATTGAGATGGGATTCGGAATTTGCACACGTATGCTTTAACCTCGACCGACAGACATACCGACGGAAATGAGTGAAATGATTTTTCGTGATCAAACATAATATATTCTCAATTTTTTGCGATTGAAATACACCCTCCCCCATTGGCATAGGAAGTAAAAATCGCAGACACTTAAAAAAAATATTGATAGATTTAAATCCAGCGATCTAGATGGTTATCATAATTTGTGGTTATGTTGAAGCATTTTTCTTAAACGGTCTTAGTTAAATTTTAGGTCTGTACCTGCTAAATCCTAACAACATCAGCTTGTTACGATTTTTCCAAAAACTCTCTAAAAAAAGTTTGACTGCCGCTATGTTGCGAACAAAGCCTATTTTTATATGAACGTTTTTCTTAGAACCACTCAAGGAATAACGAATCACCCCTTGAAGTATGGCCAGTTGTTTCAAAAGCATCATGTATCTACACCTATAATGTAAAATGAGCTTCGTGATGCTTCATTCGAAAGTTGGAATTTTTTGTCAAGGTGTGTGGGAATACAACCTGAAAATGGATTTTTCAAACAACGTCAGTTCGTGGTAGTGTTTAGCAAACACTATCGTTTCGACCGCACTAAAAGAACAAACGTTTTAAACTACAGAAATTTTCTCATTTCGCACGATTGTTGTGTCTAATTGGAGTGATTTAAATGAGAGTTATGCCCTTCGCCCTGCAGTTTGTATGCGTTCTTGTTCCCGTGTTGTTATTTCTCCCCCTTCGCCCAGACCCAGTGGTTGTACGCTATATGGCCGGTGACAAAGAAAGAACTGGAGGAACATAATTTGGAGAATTTACATTCAAAACAATACCGTGGGTGGTCTCCGTTCGGAGAAAATCGACGTCGGTATAGCTTTGCTGGTATACTGTACGAACCACGAACCACTACACATAACAGTGTTGCCACTTGACAAATTCGGAACCGGCATCCTATCAGTTTAAAGTTAAACCGATCCATTTGATATCCACTATTTGCCGCTGAGTCAAGTAGACTGAAACAGACCCAGGTTGTCAAAACTTTTTTAAAAATTTGTCTTTTCGTAAGAATCCTAGTAATCTTGTAGCCGATTTTGTCATAACTTGTAATTTACTGAAACTATCTCCCTATGGATCTAGGCGGGGGGCAACTAAAGACTGAAGAGCGCAGATGGGGAGGGGGGGGGTCAGCGATCGCATGCTTAAGCACTTAAGTGGCCCTTCAATTGAAGAACAGGAGTGAGATACGTCTAGAAGGTAGATACGTCTCACGATTAGACACCATTTTCTCGAAAAAAAGATCGCAGACTTAAAGCGCTTTACGTGAGTTTTAGAAAATTAGGTACTGATGACTTGTTTGTTTTACCTTTTAATTACTAATCCCATAAATTTGATCTCATCCCGCCTGATGATCATAAGAAACTCGAAAAGCTTTGCGACTGTCGAGATATTCGTACTCTGACTTATTCTTACCCTCCTTTCACATTACACGATTTCGCTCGTACGGGAAAAAATCGCCCGTGCAATTTTTCTTGATCGACTGTTGAAGAAGACGAGACCTTTCACATTGCACGATTACAACACCGGCACGTTTTCTAAACGCGTTGCAGCCGTCCAGTGCCACTAGAACCGTACGGCTACCGTATCGCCCTCTAGCTCAGTGGTCTACGTGACCAAATGCACGACGGTTCCAGTCGTGCCACGATTAAAAATCGGGCGATTTTTTTCCGTACGAGCGAAGTCGTGTAATGTGAAAGGAGCGTTAGATTGTATTCCTAGCCGAGTAATTCGGCAGACATTTAAGTAGATCCAAAAACTTGATCATGCTTGTGATAGATATTTTTGTTACCTTAACATTTAAGTGAAAATTGAGGTTTAGCAGAACAGACTTACAAATTTTTGAGTCCACTTGAATATTCTTGGACTGCGTTTTAACATGATCAGAATGAAACACAAACATTGGAAATTTTACAAATATCGCCTCCTTAAAAAAGACTCATAGACAAAAAAAATGGAACATCTTATAGGTCAACCATTATTCTCATGGAAACATTTTGTAAATCCATGTATGCATCTGTCAACCTATTCTATGCAAATTGAAAAAGGCGGGGGGTGGCTTCAGCTGCATCATACATTTTTCGACACTTTCGTAGTAGGTTAAATCTGCACTTCCTACGCAATGCCGAGATCAGTTCATAAGTTCAACGTAATTTGAAAATTAAACGGAATAAGTCAGTCATACAGGCCCAAACAATTAGTCTATGGACATTATTTCCCTGACCTACCGGTAGTTACTAAGCATCTGGCAACGTTGCCCCTTTCCACATCTGCACGGCAGCGTCCAGCGCGGCATCGCTGCAGTACGGATAGATTAGTCGGCCGAACCCGTTTCCCGGGCGATGATCTTAGGCAACAGGATTACGCAGATTAAACATATTTCTTTATATGATTCTTAAAGGCAAATGTATGAGAAAATCTATGATGTGTGAAATATGTCTAATAGCTGCCTAGAATTACTAAGGTTGTGAGCGTACAAATATAGTAACATCATACAACTGAGATACACCCCCACCCCACCACCAATTTTTCATCCCTACATTTTTTTTCAAAAATGATTAGGATTCTCTGAAACGTCAAATAACGAACTTTGACTGATTTTTATCTTTTTCGTTTTTGATCTTTTTTTCGCCTGGCTCTCTTTGAAAAAACTACAAAGGTTTTTCGTATTTGGCTAGTAAACCAACTTTTTTAGCTGCTTGTCCATATATCCATCTATCATATTATGTCCACCTAATATGAGCTTAATATTTACAAGATCCAACAATTCATCTCAAAAATCTCATAATGTCACGCAACTTAAATGTTTCCGGAATCAAGGAATTTGGTAATCCTCTAGCTTAACTACCCCAGCCTTTTTTGCTTCTCCGACCGAATAGACACTAGGTTTAGGTTGTAAACGCTGGATATGAGATTAAAAAGGCCCGCAAATGGGTTAGTTGCAGAATATTGTTGATATAATCTGGGTTTCAAAAGGTATAAACACCTTCTTAATCAGGACATTTGCAGAATGGAAGGGATCATATAACGTATATACCGCGATGTTGCCAAATTGAACAAATATATGAAAATCAACGAAAATACGCATTTCCACGCGTAGCAGCTCTCATTTTATTCTAGAATTTGAGCGCATTTGAGTCGCGGCGCGCGTACAAATTTAATTACCAAGAATATCTATCGACATGAAAACCTATTAAGTAACGAAATCTGGCAACATCGCAAGTCTTTGAAAACAAACATTCAATAAAAACCTATTATATAGTAAAATATTTCAGAACTGTTATGTTTGTGCTGATTTCCAGTCCCATTTCTTTCATCTACACCCAAAAACCAGGGTCTAAAATCATTTTTTCATCAAAAACGGCTAGAGAATTACCAGGAATTCATTGACTTACATAGATTATACTCTAATATGAAAAGTGGCTTTTGAAATTCCCGAAACAATTATTTTTGGGCAGTGCTACCTGACGCCGGCCCTGTTATTGTCTACCGCTTGCTGAGTAGCTACCCGCTTGTTGTGTACGACTGCGGCATCGCTGCGATACTTCAGTCTTACGACTAAGCGTGTGTTGGTAGGGTGCGTGAATCGAGAACGAACAGCGAGTTGGAACTTAATTCGTGTCGGCGAGATCGCTGTACTTTCGTTCGAGTTTCCTTACATTTTATCCAGCCGAACACGAAGGACTTCAGTAATGTGGCTTTCGACGCCGTATAACCGTCCCGTCGCTGGAACGTTTTCAGGGATTCCTACCCTGTGGAAACCTCGGTTTCTGTTACTGGAACCTCGGAATGTGTGAAGACATGGCCGAGGCCGGGGCTGTGAACACACTGACAATACTAGTGGCTGAGAAAGTGACATTTTTAAATGTATAAACTCAGGAACGCCGATGTTTTGTGCGGCCTGGTGTAAAAGCGGGCCTGAGGATGGCTTCCATGGCGCCAGAGGCACCGTCACCAGAACCTACAGAAGATCGACACCAAACGGATCTCTACACAAGACCTGGATGGGTAGATGCAGATGTTGCACTCAGCCAGTTAGATCGGGTAAATCTCGTTTCACTTCACTGCTTTCATTTACTTGATCCCTATTTTACCCCTCAGTCTTTCAGCTGTTTGTTTACATACCATATTCGCTCTATATCTCTAGAGTTCAGATGTTCAGAGTACGGTTGCCAGCTTGTCTAAAAATACAGCAAATTCGAAATTTTGCGCCTGGTGTGCCTTAATAGATCGCTGCACAAGACCTGGGTCCACCATACATGCAGATAGTCCACTCAGAGACGATTGGGGAAATCTGAGGGTAAATCTCGGCATGACTTACTATTTTAATTCAGGCACTCATCCCTCGGCTTATCCCTCTGTTCCCCAACTCTTCAACTGTTTGTTTACATCCCATATGCGTATATTCTACATTTGTGGAGTTCAGATGTTCAGAGCAGAGTTGCCAGATTGTCTGAAAAACTGTGAAAGTTAAAAAATTTGTGCTTGACGATTATTTATCCAATTCGGTGACTTATTTATGTTCATCTTTACTTCATCAACCCTGGTAAGGGAAAATGTTTATAACGTATCTATATAGCGAGATGAGGTCGTACGGACCCTACCATATTTTTGTTGTAATTGATATTCTTAGGCTTAGTATATCCAAAATCCTTCACCTACGCCACATTATATGTTTGGAAATTCGTTCTAATCAGGCAACCAATGCAATATAGAAGGTAACAAAAGATTTTAGTTATGTATCAATTGGAACTGACTGTTTTTCTGTATATAACAAAAGCCAAATTGTGATAAAAAAAGGGTTGCCAGAACGCATGAAAAATGCAGGAAGGTTAAGAAATCCTGCGAACCACTGTGTCTCAATGGGTGTGAGGTGAACACAAGAGTTGGGATAGAATAGTGGAAAGTACTCACTCCAAGAAAGTGCTGAATCGCGGAGAGACTGCGACACATGTTATCCGTGCGATACCTACTTGACAAATCGAGGGGGAACAAGGCGTATTCGAAAGGATTACCAAGTTCATTAAGAACTTGGAGCTAGGAACTGAAATGCTTGCAACCAAAATAACAAATATGTATAAAAAGATTCTCGAAAGAATAATTTAGAAAATAGTTTGAACTTCAACTATTTGAATCTTCGTTCTTCTATTTGACTTGATAGGACATTAAAATTTTCTTCTCTAAATTCGGCTAAATATAAACTGTGCATGACTTACAAAGGAACAATTTTTTGATGAGTCTGTAAGCATGAAAATCCTCCCAAAGTACTAAAAAGTCGTACAACTTGCTAGGTGAACGAAAGACCGTATGTCGAGTAGGCGTCTTGATGTAAACAAGAAATACAACGCTTAAACGATGAATGTATTGTTAAGCGGTTATTTTATGAATATATTCCGTACCTTTACCATTGCATACCTTGGAAGGCTCTTTCACTTTTATGAATGGAAATATTTAAACTGCATGTCGGATATGATTTATTACTGTATAGCAATGTGGAACACATCGGGTTTTTTTATTTTTTTATGGAAAAGTGCCACTATGTATTCATTTAGTGAATTATTACTTCCGCTATTGAACTGATTTCGCACCGCTCCAGAGTAAAATATAGTAGGTGGGATGTGATTGGCTAGCTGAATATAGGATAGCAAATACACTAACATGTTAGGTTTGATAGATAACTTTAGAGCCAAACCTGATGGTAGTGTACCTTTGGCCATCCATCATTAACAATATAACTAATGCCTCAGTGTGGGGTCACGCATAATCCAAGGGCTAATTAACTGGTATAAACCGAAATCTTGGGTAATTCCTCATATATCCTAGTAATTAATTAGCGAAATGCTACCTAAGTCCGCACAACTGTTCCAGCTTTCTACTCACATTTGCTCTGTCAGCTAAAAAACATCTCTATAATAAGAAACTGCTATGCGGAGGATGTGAACAGGAAGATAAAAGACAGTTAAGCACTAACTTGGCGAATGCCCTGCTATTCTATAGATATGAGTATTCAGCGTTGGTCTCCTATGGCTGTTGTAAGGGAAGATCTGCTGTGTCATATCACAATATTCTTCAATAATTTGGGCTGATGATCCAGCCCCGAGTAACCCCCTAGGAAGGACGTACAAGGGGCCCAATAGGCCCTAAGTGATGTGATCTTGGCTGATGGATTAGCGTTTTTGCATTACGTAGAATTGCAAATAGCGTTCGTAGACATAATAATCCATATCGCCACACTGCACACATACTCTAACTGTAGAAGACAGAAGTTCCTGTTTTATATATTCAAAATAGGCCTATTTATAGAGCTATTTTCAAATGAAAGAGTTTTTTATTATATAAACGCGAGTATAAATGATTACAAAATTATAAGGAGAACCAGCGGCATTCTTGTCATGCTCTGTTTTTTGGCCGCCGCACGACCTTTGTAATGTGTGTTTTAAGGCAATGACATTGGCATTGCTGCATTTGGAATCGAAACGGTGGCCACATGCCGATTCATATTGTTTATTTTTTCTTCCTCATCACTTAAAAAAGCCTGTAGTTTCTACCGTTTAGTGTTACTCATTCATGTGTATCCACGATTATTTCACATCGGCTGGTATTCGGATGAAAAATCCTGGCTTATATTCACTATGTTTAGTCTACGATTTTATTCAAAATCCAATGGATTCTTATTTCAAATTGTACTCGATTCACCCAAGCTTCGAATGCGGAGGAAAAAGGTACTCGATTAGCGCTGTTCTGAATACCCGAATTCATTTAATTACCGATACTTCTTTTCGATTATTCCAACTAAATAATGTATGCGCTCTTTAAACTTTATTTTTATTCATGTACTTAAGTTATAAAGATATATGAATATATTAAAATTATTAGATAAAAGTTAAAATAAGATTTTGATAATTATACAGTATCACAGTGAGGTTAGACAAATTTATTGTACATAATAAAAAACATTATTTGAATGATAATTGATTTTTGTGGAAAATATAATAAAACTTATATAGAAAATATATGAATCTTACACAATCTATCTACATAATTAATAAATGAACTTACCTTTTTATATACCTGGTTTAACTAGTATCAGACCTATAAAGTCCAAGTATTCGAATACTACCCAATTCTGCTTACAATCCGAAAATAGCTGATCGACTGATAGAAAAAAGAATTTAGATCGCCGCTGTATTCTGCCCATCGATGCTACAACTATTTTTTTGAGTAGTATAAGCACCCATAAGTGTTTCAAAAATATGAGATGCGTCTGTCTGTCTATTCAATGCAAAATTAGCTATTCTTGCATTGAAGTAGCGAAATGCCAGAATACAGCTTCGGTCTACTACTCGCATTTTTATAGAAAACTGTTAATTAAGCTCTTGCCTCGCATCTGCTCAGCTGTCCTATCAATACAAGAATTTATTCATGGGAAGCGTCGGTCTTCAAAGGCTAATACCACGGACACGCTGCCGGGTCATATCACCGTAATCTTCAATAGTTTGGGGTAGCTGAGGAATCTCTGATGAGGTCATCTCAGAGTCACAATGTTGTCTAGATGCTGTGGTCTTGGCTGACTATCCTTCCTTTAATACAGAAGATCGCAAGGGGTGCCGCCGTCTCACCGGCAAGGTCAGGCACCCATCCGTTGTCGATTATACAATGCCGGTGAAAAAATGTGGCAACGCCGTGTGGTGGGCGACAGTGATGGCGATGTGCCGTGTTACGCTAGCCTTGGTAGGACCACCGTGTCAGCTGCGTGTGTGGTCCCAGCTAGCTTAGCGGCTAAGCTTACCTGTGCCCTTTACAGGGCCGGACGCCGACAAATACAATACGGACACCATCAATGTTAGCTTATCCAATTTTTCTTGGTGAATGGTCTCCTAATCAGCAACAACTTTGTAATTGCATCACGTTAAATGAAGATAAATCTATTCTTGGGAGTTAAATATCTTTTTTTGACTTTGCCCAGAAGAGTAGTGGGTAATTTTAGACTTGAGTATTTTTTCATGATCAGTGGAGTCATAGAAATATATCGCGCTAAGTATCAAAATCATTCCGAAATTCTATTCTAGGAGCCGGATATGAGCTATGAAATAGTGCGGGAAATAAGTAATGTAATGGCGTAATGTAGCAAAACGGTGAAGTGTTACAGTTACATGTTAGCTTTAATGAGCTCAATGTCAAGTGTTGTCAGTAGACTTGAGACACACGACTCGTTTCGCTGAGCTCGCTCATTTCGTTCATCTCTCTTCAGTCTGAGAATATACGTCATACTATGAAAGTATGAAAATAAAATGAAGGGTTAAGGTTGACTATGTTATTGTATTTATTTTAGTATTAAATTTTTGAATGTAATGATTATAGCATGTCCCCCAAAAAAGAAGCGATCCGTAGATGTTTTCATTTACATTTCCTAAAACTCCAACGAAATGGACTTGACTCTTGACTAGTATAAAAAACACACTTAGGAGAAAATAAACGGAACTCATTGAAAATTTCATTCGAAAAGTCACCATTGACTGTCACACTGTTACTGTCAACACTGTTATCACGTTCTCAGTTCGGAGTTAGTTGCTGCACGATGCAGACACGCTCTGCACAATTGAACGAGTCGTTTAATCATCGCTCACAAATGAATAGTTGTCAAATCGTAGGCGAGATAATTTATAAGTTATTCGTTAATGTTTCTCATATCCTAAGATGCACATTTTACTTTGATTTTCTCTATGGGTGGCTAAAAAGCACAAATATGACATCAACATTCTCGAGCTTCGACTTTCAAATCGCAGCAAGTTTCAAATTCCAAGCTGGCTGAATACGATCCTGTTCTTTTCCCTCCTGTGGCTGGTCTCTCGTCTGAGGCCCTGAATCTGTTCTGGTGGGTCTGTCTCCACTGCTTCCCGCACATCCCTATTCTCCATCGTTCTTCGTCCCTGAACATGGTCCCCGATACGTTTCCGGAACTGAAAGTTCAACCCCTGACGTCTTAATCAGCGGTGTTGCCAAACTGAATAGTTTGACCAAGGCACGATTTATAATCTATGGAC